ATTAGATAGATAAGATAGTCCACACAGGAAAACCAGGAAACAAAACAGGAAAACATTCAATGACTAGCAAACACAAGCGAAGATCCAAGCACTATATATACACAGTCAGACCACGGCTCCGGGGGGGTGAACAAAGGCTGTAGCGAATCGATGCGTTTTTATAAGAGAAATATCCATATTCAAAACGTAATAATCACTTTAATGTAGCTTGCGCTCACAGTTGTACATGGAAGCAGCTCCGGGCGGATGGCATATGAGGTCAGCGTTGCGCATGACAAAATCAAAACAGAAAAACGGTCACTTATTAGAAGTACAAAACTAGGATTTGTAAAGAAGAATGCTGGAGGATTTGGATATAAGCCAAGAGGAGACTGGTTTTCCTTTGCTAAAGTAAGGAAACTTTGCTTCCTTTTAAAGTGATTATTAAGTTTTGAATATGGATATTTTTCTTACAAAAACGCAGAAGGTTCGCTACAGAAGGCCTTTGTTCACCCCCCGGAGCCGTGTGAGACACTTTTTTTAATGGATGGGCGCTTTTTATTTAACTTATTTTGGACTGATGCATGCAACACCCGCTGAGTGCCATGAAACAGCTTGAAAGATCAAAGACAATTTTTAATATAAGAGAAGAAAGTCATATACTCCTAGGATGACTTGAGGGTGAGTAATATATGGGCTAATTTTCATTTTTGGGCGAATTAATCCTTTAAGTCAACATTCAGTTCACATAGAGAAATGGATAAATAAATACACTCACTTTATCATAAAAGCACTGCCCTTGAAATTATAAGAGCTATATTTAAGAAAATGCAATGCTTGAGTTCTATGTCCATAACATTGTAGTGTAAGATGATCAGATTTCTGAAATGGACATTTCCTAGTTCAGTGGTCAAAAGACCGTTGAAATCTCACTTGTTATTTAATGAATTAGAAACGGGGACAATACTTTTTCATAACAATTGCTATTGATTATTATTCAAATTAGTGATTATTATGTTGCCTGTATTGAAGCCCTAAGCATTTTAATGCAAGTCACCTAAAATCACACTATGAAAAATAGTAGACATAACCACTGCAAACAACAAACAGATCAAAGCAGCAAAATTATGACTTTACAAAACACTTTACAAAAATAAAACAAAATCAATCAAACAAAACATTTTCAGACCTTTTCTTGTGAATGTGAATTTAGCTGTTTCAAGTCATTACAATTTTTGTTTTACTCGTCAAGTGTTAAGTGCTATTGGAAATGGATCAATAAAAATGAGATAAATATAATGTGCAATAAAAATAAATAAAATACATGAAAATGAGTAATATTTTTGATGTGCATTCTGCACATTTAATTGCTGCAATTTTAATTTAGTTGAACTACTTTAGTTAATTTAGTTCAATTTAATATTTATTAATATTATTTATATAATAATCATCATCGACGTGTACTTTCACCCATGCTATAGTTAAGCTGTGTGTGTGGGAATACTGCCTTGTGACAACAAAACTTTCCAGAACGTTTAAAGTTGTATGCAAAACAATCCCGCACACTGTTATATAACACACACAAACAGTATTACTGTAATTTAACATGAATAGTTAGTATGTGACTACTTTGAAACCGATAAATTGATGATAACAGTGTCTTTCCTCATCCATGTCAAGTTCCTCATGGCTAAAGTTTTGGCGCGCCCCCAAGTAACCAGTGTAGCTCTCTGTTGGAGAAAATAATCACTACACAATTGCTCAGGTACACAGGTAGTTTTGCAGTGTATTTGATTTTACAGCATTAACTTAACCCCTTTGTCTATACACAATTATAGGAATTTTACAAGCTAAATAGACCACAAAAAGCTAGTTCACCCAAAAAATAAAGTGGCATCCACAGTAAATATTTTTGAATTATATTTCAGTGTGTAAGAAAGTATAGTACATTTTTTAAGAGTTCAATCAAAGTACAATAAATGACACATTTCTGACACCAGCTCATACAGAAACAAGTTCAGTTTTTATTGCCAGGATCCCTCAGTTTCACAGATGCATTACATGATCAATCTCTATTAGTTAAAAGAAACAAGTATAGCTCCAGTGATCACCATACCATTTCTGACTGGACGGCATATTCCTGTCGGGCCAGCCATTATTCTTTCCGGATATCTTAGACCAGTGTGCATAGTGTGTGGGTTTGTGGTTTGCCATACACCTACATTTTTTTTGTTTTATGTGACAATACTTATTTATAAAAGTGCCTGCTAACTAGTGAGTCTGTTTTGGGAGCTGATCATTTATGGGATTGGTAGATACAATGCTATTTATTGGCAGATTTGGCAATTTAGAACAGTCACTGACATAATAGTAACTACTAACAGGGACTAAGCTTTCTCTCTAAATCTGTCCTCGGGCATGACATGACATAAAAAAGAGCAACACATCTAGGAATGGCCACTAACAAAGTGGAAAATGCACATTTTAGGAGTGGTTTGGATTGTTTGTAAGAGGCTTTTAAATGCACAGTCTGCAAATACCACAGTTGTAGTGGTACGACACAAAATTTGGCAACAATCCACTCGTGCTTTTCCAAGTTCATCTGCATGACTTGCTAGGCTTGACTGTGGCTTTGTTCCAGAGAAAGCAGGACGTACTTTAAAAGACCTTACAGATGCTTCAATGCATAATATAAGCATCACATTTGAAACAAAAGGACCAACATTTTGTAAACAACAGTAAAACTGAACTGTAACATGAATCAAACAGTAAAGCATTACTATATGATGAAAAGCATTTATGGCTTCATAAAACATCATACCATAAAAATCACAGGGATTAGTTTGACAAATGCATTCTCTTTTTTTTGTCTTTTTTCAGAAAGGTTTTGCTGAAGAAGTATCCTGATCCAATAACAACGAAAGTTATTTTTAACTGGAAACCACTTGGGTCGCCACAGCAGTCAAGAGTTAACATTTCAGTATCGAACAAAAGGTAAATTCACAATACAGGTTTGACAATGAAACAAAAATAATGATAAAACTGTTAAGAACATGAAAAGATGGAATGTTACATCATTTTTCAAGCAGCCATGGTTGAGTTCCTTTCCAGTGTAATTTCAGGAGTTTTCCACTACGGAGAATGTCTTAACGATTGATATTATTCCAGTAAAACAAAATATGACCACCTGCTATCATGTCATGCCTTAATATTCTTACAATTTAAAATAACATAAAAAAACATTCATTGGCTCACAAATTTGCATCCCATCCACTTCAAATATACACATCTAGCAATAACATCCACATTTTCAAGATTAATAAGTTATTACATTTTTATAAATACATACACAGATACACAAGGTGGCTTAGAAATTGCTTGTCGCACTGGCGTGCTTTCACAGCCTCCTATGATCTAAAGGACTATGTTGCACACAGATGAACAGGAAATAGTTCTTTTACACTGCTCTTTAGCTAAGTAAAACCCACAAAATGCATTACCGATTGCATCAGTGTACTTCCTGTCTGTTTGCATTCTTCAAACTCAACAAACGGCAACAACTAATCATATTCCATCTGGATACAGTTTTACACACATCAGAGGGAAGTAACACTTATTTTGGCTCTACACTTCTTCACAGAGAGGAATAAAGATATATAGATTTCATTGTAATACATCAGAATCTGCTGGTACCAGGTTATCACAGTGACTCTAAAATAAAAGCATTTGAAGGGGAGATGACATGATGTGTGATGTACAGTAATGCTGAAGGATGGTTATTTAACATTTCGTTTCCCTTTGCGGTGGTGCTGTGCATTTCGTTCAAGTCCGGCATGTTTCGTGAGTGTGTGCAGGCAAGAGTCCAGTCATTTTGCTCTTCTTCTCGTCACATTAGCAATGCACCTTTAGGTGAGGTAAAGAGTGATATTTGGGTGCAATTAGGAAAGACACAAAATAGCAGTTTTATAAATAAGTGCTGTCTCACAGTTCAACATAAAGCACTCTAGGCAATTCGTGTGAGAACAAAGTAGAACTGGTCTGGCTTGTCTCTTAAATCTTTGTGAGAACACGAATCAAATTGGCTGCAATCTTTATTAATAGAAATGGTCTATTTTAAGTCATGCTTTCCTTAGTAACTTAACACTAAGAATTGTTTTCTTCTCAAATCAAGAGCTGTTCAGATTCAGTGGGATCAGGCATAAGGCGTCATACAAAAAAAAAAAGAAAAGAAAAGAAAGAAATAAAAAAAAAATCACGGCATACACTTTGTCCCATTACTAACATCCAAATGGACAGTTCTACGACTGTGAAAATGCATGAAATTAGCATTTTTTTATTTTTTGTGTCATAATCATAAAATATACAAAACAAGTCCAGCGAATTATTCCAGTGCTGAATTCTGATGCCTGGATTCTGAATTCAAGTGGCTATTTAAAGGAGGAATGAATTTTAACCTCAAATGTTCAGTGCTAAAACAAGAAACATTTTACCGATTAACACAGAAAATCATATTTGCCTGTTCTCGCATTTTGTACACTTGTGAAAATGACATACACTTTTAAAAAGTATAAGTATATATATATATATATATATATATATATTAAAAAGTATTATTACAGAAATTATACACTTAAAAAGAACAAACTTAAGTGTGTATTGTTTTTAGACACTTAAACTGCATGTTAAGTATTAATTGCAATGAAATGAAAAGTTCATAATTGTTATAGTTTAAATTTATAATTAATGCAATTGCAATTAATTTATTTAAAAAAGCAAAAAGCACTTAAGAGTGTCTTTTTGACCTACTTAAATAGGATTTCTAACTTAATGATTCTATTGTCTTTGAAATAGGGTTAAAGTACTGCTGAATGTACTGACAAGCATTTATGATAAACTCAAATATAATGTAATTTCTAATGAAACATATTTTTTAATTGCACATTTGTAATTTAGTACATTTAAAATGTATTAACTTTAAATGTAATATTGAATAACACACTACGGTTAAAATTATAATCAAGTGCTTTGCATGTGCTTTAGTATATGAATAAACACATCAAAATAAGTGGACTTCTTTAAAGTACGACAAAAATGATTTTAACTGATTTAGAATGCACTTATAACTTTTTAAAAGTGTACTTAAGTGTATTAAGAAATATCGTCATGAAAGTGCTACAAGTGCACATTCAATACAATCAAGCGCACTTCTTTTTCACAAGGGCAGTCAAAAACAAGTTTACCAAAATGCACACATTTGATGATTTTCGCTCTTGGTGTTGTCACTCTAGAGATGAGCAAGAAGCCTTTAACCCACTGCCAGCAGAGAAAAAGGTTTGAACGTGCTCTGCCCATTTCTGATACTGTGATGTTTAATAGAGGGTTACAATTACACTGACATGTTAATAATTTTCCTCTAGTATATACACTGAAGCCACCTATTTCAACACAAATAAGGTCTCTAATTAGAATGTATTGCTCGGTATCTGGACACGATCATTTGCTTGTGACCATCCGGTTCACTATGTAGGAATCGGATGAAAAATACTTAAAGATAATATGATTTTGAACATTTATTGTCACTAAATGTTTTCTAAAGTCGAGTCTGCAGGTTGCAAATGATGACTTTTGGACATTCCGATGTTTTTGAACAACATTAGCCAATGATTAAGAGTTTCCGACCAGATCGGATCTTGCACCACAGGCTATCGTTGTTAACACGCTGTCACAGTGATGGCACTATGTAAATCTAGCCCTGAAAACCTTTTAGGGTGCAACGGAGATGTTAATAATAGTAAGATTCATTTGAGTAAGAACGTACTTAAGCCGACCAGTTTGTTTGCGTGCACTTTTCTAGTAAGGCTTGTCAATGTTCTTGTCACTTAAGGGACATTTTTAGGGATTTGCTAACATTTTCATTGGCCTTTTCGTGCGTCTTCTGATCTTTCTCGCTGCCATGGTTTGGCCTTCGATGCTAACATGGTTTGTTGACGTTGCAGAGCAGTTCGGTGACTTTAATGAGCCGTGCCACGGTGCTCTGGGACTCCTCCTGCAACCGCTGGTTGTTCTGCCTGAGATTTTGCACCTCTGCTTGCAGCATTGCCTTGTCTTCTTTCTCCTGTGGGATGCATGCAAACATAATGACTTTCAGGGTTGAGCGTTCTCACTCTGTATTGGCAGGACACATCCACGCCATGAGGGGTTGCTATGCCTGAATATGTCGATGGAATGACACACAGATGAAGACAATGGCTGAAGCTGGGGAAAAGATGGCTTGCTTGATTTGCACATACAACGAAATACGCCACACTATTACATGCAATGCAAACATTGATCCTTAGATCATTAGAAGAACAAAAAACTGATTCTTACATTGAGGCCCTGATTTACTAGAGGTTTGCATGTATACACAGTGCCGTGAAGTCTAAGAAGTCTCTTCTGTTCACCAAAGCTGCATTTATTTGATCAAATATACAGTAAAAATAGTAAATTGTGAAATATTGTTACAATTTAAAATAACTGTTTTCCATGTTAATATAGTAAAATGCAATTTATAGCTGTATTTTCAGCATCATTACTCCAGTCTTCAGTGTCACATGATCTTCAGAAATCAGTATAATATGCTGATCTGCTGCTCAAGAAACATTTCTGATTATTATCAATGTTGAAAACAGTTTTTGCTGCTTAATATTTTCGAAGAAAACCATGAAACATTTACTTGAATTTCTTCACTTTTGATTAATTTAATGCATTATTGCTGAATAAAAGTAATAATTTCCTAAAACAAAATATATATATATATATATATACAGTATATATAATTCTTACTGACCCCAAACTTTTCTATATATTTGCTTGACACTTCACCAATGGCAATACATTAAAAAGCAAAATAATTTAACAAATTTCAATTGGAATGTATATTTATTGGACAAAGTACCTTTTGGAGGTCGTCCTGCAGTCGCTTCAGCATGGCCTCTAACTGGGACACTTTCTCCTCGAGGTGACCAGGCGAGTCACTGCGAAGGCAGGGAGAGAAAGAAGAACACCAAAAAACAAAACAAAATGATGTCCCAGTTTGGATTAATTCAGATGTGTTAATGTTTTTGAAAGACGTCTCTTCTGCTCACCAAGGCTGCATTTGGTGATCAAAAATACAGTAAAATTGTGAAATATTATTGCAATTTAAAAAAGCAGTTTTCTATCTGAATATATGGTCAAATGTAATTTATTCCTGTGATCAAAGCTGTATTTTCAGCATCATTACTCCAGTCTTCAGTGTCACACGATCCTTCAGAAGTCATTCTAATATGCTGATGTGTTGCTCAAGAAACATTTCTGATTATTATCATAGTATTTTTGCTTAATATTGTGTAGGGCTGTCACAAATGATTATTTTGGTAATCGAGTAATCGGATATTTTTTGTGGTAATAGACCTAAGCAAAGACCCAAGCCTTTAAAATGACATAAAATACACATATAATAACAATGAGGCAATACAATTTTGTTCAAATAAAGTATCAAAAGCAAGTAATCATATGGTTTTATAGAACAACACTGTTAAAATACATAATATAACGATCATCTTATGTACAGTATATATTATAACACATGTCTCCAGGGGGCGCCAATGGACTGGTGAACAAATCCTTGTTTATTACTGGCCAAACAACCTTTAATTCAAATGTTTACTTAATCTTTAATATTTGCCCACTTCTTTATGATAGAAATGCTCCAGCCACTGTAATTTCTTGAACAAGAATGTGGACATCAAAACACGCAAACTCAAAGGGAGGACTTGAACTTTTATTTTGAAATTGCGATATTGTGAAATAGTGTAACAATTTAATTATTTGAATATATGGTCAAATGCAATTGATTGCTGTGATCAAAGCTGTATTTTCAGCATCATTACTCCAGTCTTCAGTGTCACATGATCCTTCAGAAATCAGTATAATATGCTGATTTGCTGCTAAAAGTGTTAATTCCTTTCAATGAATAAATAAATGTTACTGTCCCCAAACTTCTGAGGGGTTCTGTAACATTTACAGTACTGTTCCATAAAAGCTGTCAGATTTAAAGTTCTCTTTGAGTTGTGAAGGAACATTTGCTAACCGTCTTGCCTCATGTTTTGAGCGCTGTGTAATCTAATGTCGAAGAGTTCATGGCACAGTCAGCCTCACCTGTCCTTGATGTCTTTAAACCTGGTTTCTGTCTGACCTGACTGGTTTTCTGGGGATGCTTGTGATTCATCTCCTGACTTCCGGTCTGAAACCAAGCAGGACATTACAATATTAATACTCCATCTTGTCACAGAAAAGTAGCCAGGCCAGCATTCTTCAGTGAACAGACTAAACTCACACTTTCACATGTTCAAACACAAATTTCTCACCTTCTCGAGACAAAGCTTCCAGAATGTTCCGGCAGGCGTTGGCCAGATCAGAAATCGACTGCCACTCTTCTTCAGACGAATCTGCTGTCTCTGAGAGAACTGAAATCAACAAAAATATATTGTAAAAGGTCTTTGTGGAGAGTATTTATCATTTATTATCTGCACTGTATATATATATATATATATATATATATATATATATAACATTCTACATACTATTTCAGTCTTTCTACTTCAATAATTCATGTTTAAAACCATGTGTTACATGCCGTTTCTTTGTAATTAATTGTGAGATTTACTAGCAATTTCTTAATTGCTAGTTAAAATTGTTTCGACTCCTTTTTTTAGTGCAGACAGTCACATTTGCAACTGTTTGGAGTTTAATGGAATTCTCTCTTCATCTGTCAAGACTGAAATTATTGTTCTATGCTTAAACAAATAAACTATGACACATTTTTGGATAACAAGATTAATTTATGGTTTATGACCTTCTCTGTTCTCCATTACATTCATCCCCAATGCATTTTTTTTTATCATCCTGAGGGTCTCTGGTTACAAATTGGACCAATCACAGCTGTTGTGGTCTGTGTAGATGCGACATGAGTTACACTGGAGAGACGTACGGCACAGGATATACACTTTAACCACTGCAACTATGCAGAGCTTACAGCATGAATCGGGCGCAGAAATATAAATAAGCATTTAGTCTGTTCTTAAATCTGAAAATAGCATTAAAAATGATTCTAAAAATTAATAACAATTTTTACAGTTCATGTGTTTGTCCAAGTGAAAGGCGTAGGATGTATGATGCCTTATTAGGGAAATAATACAGTTTAAAAGAATGAAATGTAATGTTTTCTGACACCTAATTGCATGTTAATTAGAGTTAAATACAAATGCATTATAGTTGAAATTTATATTTAATGCAACAAGCTGAAATTTAGAGAGCTTTCTGACCCACTAAGTAGGACTTACTGAACATCTTACATCTTTATATGTAATTTCATAATTATTTCTATTGTCTTTGAAATATGATTAAAGTACTGCTGAATGTACTGACAAGCATTTATGATAAACTAAAATACCTTAATGTCATCTCTATTGAATCTTGGGTAACACTTTATTTTAAGGTGTGCTTGTTACATATGTTACATGTACTTACTATTATAATAACAATGAATTATGCATAATTACATGCAAGTAACCCTAATCCTAACCATGTAGTAAGTACATGTAGTTAATTAATATTACTCAGTACTTATATGTATAATTACACTGTAACAAGGACACCTCAAAATAAAGTGTAACCGAAACTTGTATGCCATGCATTTAAATATATTTGTAATTACACATTTGTACTGATGAAGTTGCAATTTAGTACATTTCAAATATATCCACTTTTAATGTAAAAATTACAATCAAGTACTTTACATGTGCTTTTGTATGTTAGTCAACACATCAAAATAAGTGCACTTCATCAAGGCATGACAAAATATTATTAAAACTGATCTAAAATTTCACGCACATGCAAATACAACATATAACTGATAATAACTTTATACGTGGAAATAAAATTTTAACTGCAGTTAGGCTTGGTTTTTTAATCATTTGCCAATAACTTCTAACTCTGCCCCCAATTGCAGAAAGTGAGAGGTGGTTCCTTACTGACAGTCTGAGTTTGTTGAGTATTTACACATGCACACCCATATGCATTTTAAAGAAGGGCCTGGAAGATGTAACTGCACAACGATCGAGGGGCAGAGGCACACAACAGATGGCCCAGAAACAGTGTCTTGATTTGAGGCCGTTTAATACCCTTATCCCAACCAGCCCTAGCCTAGCCCCATCTGTCTGAGCTTTACACTCATTTGAAAATGTCAGTGCCATTCAGGCCTTGATTCGTATCTTTTAAAGCTTGCTAAATTTGCTTATGAAGCGGAGGCTGGTCGTAGATCAGCTTATTTTTAAGTAGGCAGCATTTACTGTAAAAAAGCTTAGAAACAAAAGAGACTGAAAGCAGGAGTAAGGGAAAATGAAACCTCCCAGAGGAAGAGGAGGAACAGAGCCTCCCTGTAGCTAAAGACAAAAGAATACAAAAGAAGGTGAGGTGATGAACAGTGCAAAATACTAACAGAGAAAGTTAGTATTAAAAACAGTCTATCATGATATCTATATTTCTATATTTTTTTATCATGATTTATCTATATTTCATCTTATTATATATATATATATATATATATATATATATACCCAGACTCTTAACCTGAGAAGATGGGGAAAATATGGAATTATCAATAGTAAGTGAAACTGTCGGATTTTGCCAAATTGGATTTAGTACCAACAAGAAGAACTTCAGTTTTATTGGTATTTAGCTTGAGAAAATTGCACGAGAACCAGGCTTTGATTTCATCTAAACAGTCCAAAAGGGAAGAAGAAAGAAGAGTAGAGGCTTGGAGGACAAATAGAGCTGGATGTCATCTGCATGGCAGTTGAAATTAATACCAGATTTCTTAAACATATGACCAAGAGGTAATAGGTAGATAATAAATAAAAGAGGGCCCAAGACGGAGCTTTGAGGAACACCAGTAGTAACAGATGAAGAATAGGATCTAAAATGTATCTTTCTCTCCCTGAAAGGGAAGCAAAATATTCAAGGCATGTTTTCTACATTTGTTTTTAGTTAAAACAAGCAATAATGACAATTATTTTTAAAATAAATCATTACAGTAATCAACAAACCAATATAACACTAAACCGTAATAAATGTTGTAGCATTATTTACCCCTTCTTTCTTTCTTTGATATTCTGATTTTAGAATATCGTTTTTAGAATACTGTAGTGTATGATGTATCGAAACGGACTAATGCCACTCACATACAACTCCCATTGCAAACAGGCCATACTGACCATGTTTGAGAAATTAATACTTATAATTAATAATTATATTTTGAATTAGTTTTTATTAGGGGTTGAATGGATCATAATTGATCCGTGATCCGTACAGACCAGGCCCCACGGTTTGGCATACATGTGACCCGCGGATTAGTTGCAAAATTGAACCATAATAGAGTGAAAGTTTATCATTGTGTACATGTTTACACACTCAGGAGATTTTTAACCATTCCAGCACAAAAAGAGTTGAAAGAGAACTCGATTCGGTACTCGCACGCTGTTTTCTGTGCACACAGCCACACACACATGAAGCTTGCATATGCAGAGAGGCATGTTTCAGACGGTGAGCAAACACTGAACTGGATCACCTTGCATTTGAAGAGACACATACACATAAAATTATGACAAAATACCCATATCAACAATCATTCTGGTAAACGCGGTCGGTTATGTCTTATGTGAACGATAACAGCTGACAAAGAAATCGGATGTGTATCATTATATCGGACCCGTAAATTAGGTCTTAAAGGTACAGCAGCCTATAAATACCTGCTGCTGTTATTACTGCTAATCAAACAACAAAAGACAGCTTTGACAAAGATGAATCTATATTTAATTTTTATTTGTTATTTTACACTTAATTATTACATTTCTGTACCTGAAAACTACGGTTGGACCTTATTTTAATTGTAACTTTGTTCTGTGTTTATCTATGCTTGTAATTTGTGTAATTGTTCTTATTTTTTATTGGCTGTTTAATTATCATGTTTGAATTTTCTTAGTTAGGATAGTAGTTTTTGCGGTGGATTGAATAAGTACTTAGCTTTAAGTAATAAATAGAAAGCAAAGTTACATTGAAATATTTTGTTTCTTGCTGATCCAAAAACACGATCCAATGCGTGCCTCAAAAACCGTAATATGATCAGAACCGTGAGTTTTGTGATCCATTGAACCATTAGTTTTTATGTTTATACTTTCTGTTTTTAATTAAAATTTTAAAGTTTTAGTACACTCTAAAAAATGCTGGGTTATTTCAACCCAACTTGGGTTACATTTTTCAATTAAATTTTTAACCCAAAAGTTGGGTTAGTCCATATTTGACCCAAAGTTGGGTTGAAATAACCCAGCATTTTTTAGAGTGTAATTTGTTGTGTTTTTGTCATTTGTATTATTGTTTTTATTAATTCTTACTTCAGTTTTAGTTTGAGTTTTTTTAGTATTACAAGCGAAACTAAATGAAAATTGAAAGTTGTGTGATCTTCAGTTGATTCGTGGAGGATGCCCAGTTTTTCTCTGTAACCATGTGTATGATCTGTAAAATCTGTTCAGATTTGTACACATTCCAGCCTTTAGATTAAATGAAAGAGCTCCTGCTGTTTTTCTATTAATTACAGAATTAAACCTCTCACAGTTTAATATATCAAAATATCCTGTCTGTACTTGTGGAAACTGCACTTGTATATTACCAATGAAGCTAAAATAAAGCATTAGATGTTTTGAAGCCACACAGTCACTGTGGAAGTACTTGTATGAAGGATTATTTAATAACCCACTGCAGATAATGGCCTGCTGTAGCAACAGTGGTCTGGACCATAACATTAACTATATCAGTCATTTAAAAATAATACATTTACTCTGTATTATCCTGTTAACATTAAGAAACACTTACTCTTAGTGATGGAGTTATGGAGGCTCAGAGCTCTGGAGTTTCTTTCTGCACTTTCCATGCAGGAGGATCTCAAGGTCACATCACTGACCGACGGCCTCTCTTCAGGCCCCTGATCACACACAAACTAGACAGAGAGGAGGAACGAAACCATCAATGAGTAGAAGCAGGCAGTATGACCACAATATCATAGTAAATGTATATAACAATATAGTTATTTTGCTTGAAATTAAACCTCAAATTTATTGTACTGTTATATGTATGTACACTCTAAAACATGCTGGGTTGTTTGAACCCAACTTTTGGTCAAATATGGACTAACCCAACTTTTGGGTTAAAAATGTAATTGAAAAATTTAACCCAACAGTTGGGTTAGTCAATATTTGACCCACAGTTGGGTTAAAACAATCCAGCATTTTTTAGAGTGTCGCAATTATGCATAAAGTGTAATACAGAGAATTAAATGCTACAAATTAAAGGTTCTTTAAATCATTAATTCCATGTATATATGTATGTACATATGTATGTGAATTTTATTTGATTAACGCATGATAAGTCTGGTATCATTAAAAAAATGCTTTACACTGAGTTAAAAACAAGACTCAAAACAACCAATGAATCAATAAAATGTTTCCTTCATCATACTTTCTCTTTTGTCTCACTGAGTATTATTCATTCATTCATTCGAATTTTATTGTATTAATGCAAACCAAAAAATGATTAATGATAAGTTTGGCAGCAATAAAACAAGTTTTACAAAACAAAAGACTCAAATCAATCAATAAATCAATCAATCTGTCTGTCAGTCAAATAAATAACTAAATAAATAAGTAAATGAATATTCCTCTATTTTCTCATCATATTCATCATACTTTCTCGTTTGTCCCACTGAGTACATTGAGTAATAATTACACGTTTTATTTATTGTTTTTCATTTTATTTGATGGATGCAAACCAAAAGCAATATATAAATTATACATAATTAATGATAAATCTGGTATCATTAAAAGACAGCTTTACACAGAGTTAAAAAAGAGACTCAAAACAATCAAATAAATAAATATTTCCTGCATTTTCTTGTCACATTTATCATACTTTCTCTTTTGTCCCACTGAGTACATTTATTTATTTATTCGTTTGTCCGTTCATCCGTTTGAATTGTATGTGATGGATGCAAACCAAAAGTATATTTATTAATTTAATTTATACTTAATTACTGATCAATTTGGTATCATTAAAAGCTTTACACTGAGTTAAAAACAAAAGACTCATCACAGCAATCAACAAACTAACTAATAAATAAATCAACACATAATTATTACTCAATGCGTAGATAAAAGGCAGGAAATACAGCGAGTGAGAGAAAGTGATTTTATAAGGGGAAGAAGGGAAAGGATGAAGTGGGAGGAACAGAAAGGAAGGAAAGAGAGAGAGAGAGTGGGAGACAGATCTGAGAGGTTAAAACCCTTCTGAAAGCAGCAATCACTTTCCAAATACAGAGAGTTACACAAGCGGATCCATCAGATGCCCTCTGTGTGGGAGACAACAGCAGCACATCATGCCATGATTCAGGTGCTTCGATGCATTGTGCTCTTCTGTAAGTGTCAATGCCCTTAATATTGTTTTTAAGTAAGCCTCATAGTTAGGCGTGTAATGATTCACTTGTTTTCTTGGTGTATCTATGCCGATGCATATGCATCAATCCTGGAACATGGATTTTTGAATCATGAATCATTTGTTTCGGTCGAGAATCTATTTAAAACGTTAAAAAACGAATGAATCATGATTTGGTAAAGTATCATTCAATATATATATGTATATATGTATATATAAGTTAAATGTGGTGTTCTCATGGTCATAAAAAAATAGTATTTCCAGACTGAGAAATATCATGAAAAAAAAAAATTGGAATATGGAATACTTTCCTAAGTGCGCTTGGCTTGAAACTATTTTGTTATAGTTTATTAATATTTAGAATTAGTTTGTATTTTAATATTTTCTGTTTCAATTAAACTTTTAGTTAAAGCTTAAGTAAATTGATTGTGTTGTTTGTTTTCTTAAATATGTGTATATTATGTATATGTACATATGTATATAGTTTTTATAATATTTTGTTTTAGTTTATTCATTTTTATTTCAGGATTAGTTATTTTAGTACTCAAGTTAAATGAAATGAAAATGAGAAATGTTGATTTTTTTTTTTAAATATTAGATTTTATTTCAGTAATTTTTTTTTAAAGTTTTTAAGTTTTTACCCTGGTTTAAAAACGACCTTCATACGATTTCTAGCATTTTAAGTTGATTCTTGACTGAAACAACGATTCACAGAATAACAGGGAATTTTAAATAGCTATTTCCAGACCAAGAAAACTCATGGAAATATTTATTTTTTATTATTTTTTTAAATGGAATATGGAATACTTCCTTAATAGTTTATTATAGTAATTAACTATAAGATTTAGATTTAATTTCATTATAGTAATTATATTTATTGCATGTTTTTGTCTTTTCAGCTCAAAAATATGTTTTGATAAAAAAGGTTCATCAAGACAAACTTTAGGTTGGCTTGAGAAAGCCTAGCCTGAAAGTTTAAAGCAGTTGTAAAAGCCTGAAGTTTGAACATTTAGATAGATTAGATAGATGTTGATAACATGATTCTAGCATGATTAGCATGTTTTTAGCATGATTAGCCTGTTAGTAGCATATTTTGCGGGCATGATTAACAATTTACTAGCGTGTAGCTAGCATGTTTCTAGCATGATTAACATGTTACTAGCATGTTGCTAGCAAGATTAGCAAGTGATTCGCATGTTGCTAACATGACTAGTAAGAAACTAGCATTTCGCTAGCATGATTAGCAAGTGACTAGTGACTTTATTTACTAGCGTTTATTTACTAGCATGTTGCTAGCATGTTTCTAGCATGATTAACATGCTATTAGCATGTTGTTATAATGATTAGCAGGTTACTAGCATTTCACTTGCATGTTTCTAGCATGATTAACATGTTACTAGTATGATTAGCAAGTGACTGGCATGTCGCTAGCATGATTAGCAGGTTACTAGCATGTCGCTTGCCTGTTTCTAGCATGATTAACATGTTAATAGCATGATTAGCAAGTGACTGGCATGTCGCTAGTATGTTTCTAGCATGATTAGCAAGTGACTAGCATGCCGCTAGCATGATTAGCACGTTACTAGCATGTCGCTAGCATGTTTCTAGCATGATTAGCAAGTCACTAGCATGTCACTAGCATGATTAGCATGTTACTAGCATGTCACCAGCATGATTAGCATGTTGCTAGCATGATTAACAAGTGACTAGTGACTTTATTTATTTATTTATTATCATTTATTTACTAGCATGTCGCTAGCATTTTTCTAGCATAGTGACTAGTGACTTTATTTACTAGCGTTATTTACTAGCGTTTATTTACTAGCATGTCGCTAACATTTTTCTAGCATGATTAACATGCTACTAGCATGTTGTTAGCATGATTAGCAGTTTACTAGCATGTCGCTAGCATGTTTCTAGCATGATTAACATGCTACTAGCATGTTGTTAGCATGATTAGCAGGTTACTAGCATTTCACTTGCATGTTTCTAGCATGATTAACATGTTACTAGTATGATTAGCAAGTGACCGGCATGTCGCTAGCATGATTAGCACGTTACTAGCATTTCGCTAGCATGTTTCTAGCATGATTAGCAAGTGACTAGCATGCTGCTAGCATGATTAGCAAGTCACTAGCATGTCGCTAGCATGATTATCATGTTACTAGCATGTTGCTAGCATGATTAGCAAAGTGACTAGCATGATTAGCAAGTGACTATCATGATGTTAGCATGATTAACAAGTGACTAGCATGACACTAGCATGATTAGCATGTTGCTAGCATGATTAGCAAGTGACTAGTGACTTTGATGCAAAAAACAATCTTATCTAATCTATACAGTCTCATAATGAACCGCATACCTGTTCCTCTTGCTCCGGAGGCACTTTGGGTTTGACTGCCAGGATGAGGTCAGGGGTCTCGTCCCAAAGCTCTCCAGGGTTTTCATAGATGTGCCTGTTTGCTTTCAGCCCCACGTTATCATATACATGCCTGACAGACAAACACGTTCAAAGAGGAGAAACATTAGTTAAGCAGAATACATAAAAGAGGATATTTTACAGCATCCAAAATACTACTTGACTTTTGAATGAAATCAAATGTGTTATCGTGCTTATAAACAGGAGCGCTTTCCAATTAAAGGGGTCGTGCATAATCTTGGTTACCACAGAAGTACACTTTAGCATACTTTAATAAGCGTATTTATTATGGAAATAATATATTTTAAAAAAATTAAATTGAGTACGAACTGAATGTGATTTTTCAGACACTACATGTTAATTTTAATTTGATAAATGGATTGCAATTTAAATTTATGTCTATTGTCTTTTTGAAATATGGTTAATGCACTGCTGAATGTACTGACAAGCATTTATGATAAACTAAAATATACTTTATTATCATTTCTATCGAAACTAGTGTCATGTATTTATTTGTAATTACACATTTAAAATAATGAAATTGTGATTTAGTACATCTAAAACATACTAACTTTATAGTGTAATACTGAATAACACTAAAGTTAAAATTAGAATCAAGTACTTTACAGGTGTTACGTTGTGTTGTGCTGTGCTGTGCTGCGTTGCTTTATGTTATGTTGTGTTGTGTTGTGTTGTGTTGTGTTGTGTTGTGTTGTGTTGTGTTGTGTTGTGTTGTGTTGTGTTGTGTTGTGTTGTGTTGTGTTGTGTTGTGTTGTGTTGTGTTGTGTTGTGTTGTGTTGTGTTGTGTTGTGTTGTGTTGTGTTGTGTTGTGTTGTGTTGTGTTGTGTTGTGTTGTGTTGTGTTGTGTTGTGTTGTGTTGTGTTGTGTTGTGTTATGTTATGTTGTGTTATGTTATGTTGTGTTGTGTTGTGTTGTGTTGTGTTATGTTATGTTGTGTTATGTTGTGTTGTGTTGTGTTATGTTGTGTTGTGTTATGTTGTGTTATGTTGTGTTATATTGTGTTATATTGTGTTGTGTTGTGTTGTGTTATGTTATGTTGTGTTATGTTGTGTTATGATAGTCAACACGTCAAACGTAGTTCTTTAAAGCACAACAAATGATTATTAAAACAACAGATTTACAATGTATTTTAACTAAACTTTGATGTAGAATTTTAATTATTACAAAGTGTATTTTTTTAAAGTTAAGAAACAGTCAAAGTGTGTTATTGTTAACTAAAACTAAAATAATGAAAAACATTTTTTTTGTGTGTGTGAATTAAAATAAAGCTAAAATAAAAGAAAATATCCTGTAAATGTCAGATGAAAACTTAAAATTATCTTTAAAAATTTAGTAGATTTAGTAATTAAACTTTAAAAAAAGTAGTTTTAATCATTTATGTGTAAAAAAAAAACCTAACTGGAATAAAATAAGTTGAAATACTAAAATTAATAAAAAATAAAATAAAAATAAATTAAAGACAAATATATATAAATAAATAAAAAATGTCATTGTAAAACTACTTACACTATAATTAACATGCCAACTGAAAATGCAAAAATAAAACCTACTTCAAAACTATAATAACATATAAATAATAGAAAAAAAAACACGGTTGCAGAAAGGTAATTTTGGACCCTGATTTAATCTGTTTGTTAAGGAGTAAACAGGACATTTTTAGAGTGAAATCAGAAGCAGACCAACAGAACAGACAGAACTGCATACCCTTCAATGATGTCCTGATACGGAGCGTATCCTTCTAGCGAGTAGCTCCGTGTGAGAGAGACGGGGGTGACTTCAGGGCTCTGGCTCTTCATGCTGTCCTGCAGGGAAGTCGCCCGTATGAGAGCCAGGCTGGGCGGAGAGAGGAGCGAATCTGTTTCCATGGGCTCCGGAAATCCCATCTGCTCTCCAAGAAGCTCCTGCTTTAGAGTTTCACTGTCTGACGTCTTATTTTCAATCTCTTTCTTCTCCTCTTTCTCTCCTCCGCCGCCATCAACCTCAACTTCTTCATCGTCATCCAGAACCCATGCCTCGCCTGACCGTCCCTCTCCGGATTTGCTCTCCGCGTCCTGGATGGCCTTCTGGTAGAGCTCAGAGAAACTTCTGAACTCAGACAAGCACAAGAACAACGGGAAAAGAACGTGAAGAACAACAAACAAAGTTTGAGCTGATTTTTTCAGCGTACGCATTTCACTGTTAGTCATGGATGAAGAGATCAATGCTGCTATTTTGGTGTGTTTTTTTGAAGTATATTATATAATCAAAGACTTACATAAATCATGCTGAGTAAGTCGCTGTATATAGGATTTGAAAAAAAATGCAGTTTTGTGTGTGTGTGTGTGTCAGTGTGTGTGTGTGTGTGTGTGTGTGTGTCTGTGTGTGTGTGTGTGTGTGTGTGTGTGTGTGTGTGTGTGTGTGTGTGTGTGTGTGTGTGCGTGTGTGTGTGCATGTGTGTGTGCATGTGTGTGCGTGTGTGTGTGTGTGTGTTGGTTTGGATCAATAAGTATTATGAGAGTTGAATGACATTTGACCAGCTGGTGAAACACTGACTAACACATTTTCATGTCAATAGAATGAGGTCTGTCCTTCATTCATTTGCTCCCTCTCTCTCTCTATCCATCTGTTTCCCTCCCTAGGGAGCATATATAAAAAAATATACAATACAAATGCATAAGTACAAATATATATAGATAGATGAGGCATTATAATAACTGTCAGTCCACGACAATTTATTTTGTCAGCCTAATTATTTTCACTACCGTTCAGAAGCTTAGGGTCTTTAAATAAATGAATAAATACAACGTTTTTGGAATTAAACTGCTCAGAAGTAAGAGTAAATACATTTATAATGTTACAAAAAGATTCTATTTCAAATAGATGCTGTTCTTTTGAACTTTCTATTCATCAAAGAATCCTTAAACATGTATCACGGTTTCCACAAAAATATGAAGCATAAAAAAACTATTTTCAACATTGACAATAATAAGAAATAATAAAAATTGAGCACAAATAATAATTGATAATAGCTGAGCAGCAAATCAGCATATTATACTGATTTCTGAAGGATCATGGGACACTGAAGACTGGAGGAATGATGCTGAAAATACAGCTGCGCATCACAGGAATAAATATCATTTTAAAATATATTCACATAGAACACAGTTCTTTTAAATCGTAATCATTTTTCAAAGAATTACTGTTTTACTGTATTTTTGATCGAAAAAATTCAGCCTTGGTTTATGGAATCTTGTTTCCTCCACGGGATAAAAAAAATTAAAAAGGTAATTGCAACTTTTTATCTCACAATTTCACATTTCTGAGAAAAAAAAGAGTCAAAACTGTGAGATAAAAAGTCACACTACCAATTTTTTTTTTGTCCGTGGCAAACAAAAAATGTAAAATAAAATAAAAAAGAATTATGAGATGTAAACTGGGAATTCTAAGAAAAAAAGTCAGGAATGGATTGCAAGATTTAAACTCAGAATTCTGATAAAAAAAGTCAGAATTCTGAAGTTATATCTTGCAATTCTGTGTTTATACAGTACCTTGCAATTCTGAATTGTGAAGTAAAAAGTTGCAATTACATTTTTTAATTCTGGGAAATTTCCAAAAATTGGCTTTCATTTTGGGTAGCAAAGAGACTTCTTTCAAAAACGTAAAAAAACATCCTTATCAACCTTAAACTTTTTAGCGGAGGTTTTGAACGGGATACACATTACATTTACCATCATTAATTACATTATCAACAATACTCCATCCTCCACTCCCTGCTTACTATTTTTAACTCGTCAGCCCACTTTTCTCTCAAAATCACTGCAGTGTATGCATTCTTTACGTCATCCCCCATTTTATCCACTTCCTCTGACACACACTTCCTCATAACCCGTCACCTCTATTACCTGCGTGGTTTTCCGTGTTCAGTTTCTTGCACAGACTGATTGTTTCGCTTCATAAGACCTCGATATATCGTCGGGAGCTACGTGTATTAATTTTGTCTTGCCTGTATATGCTTTTTTGGACTATCAAGTGATGGTAGTCGTTGACTTGCATTTGGCCTGAGGGGGAGTAAATTAACAGCAATTTTTAATTTTTGGGGTGAACTATTCCTTTAAGTACAAATAAACAGCAAGTAACACGTTCTATTAAACATGAAATTTGAAGTAGAAAGACTGAAATAGTAGTTTCTTCTAAAAATGTACTCCAATATTTTCACATATACATTAAATCTCACCTCCAGCCTTTGGACAACCTCTTTAATATCCTCAACTTGGTTTTCCGACGTTGTGACAGTCACCGCCTCGCCTCTCTCGTAGAAGATATCCAGGGAAGGGCCACCCAGAGCTCCAGGCTCAGTCACAGCCTTCCAGCCGATCACATCGCGGCAGCTGCAGTTGAATATGACGGTTCGAGTGAATCGCTCTATGAGCACGACCGACTCCGCCGATACGCCGAGCAGACAGGACAGGCTCAGACCGTTGTTCTCGCCACCCTGAACGACGGTGACGGCCCACACTAAAGCACCTGCGCTGTGAAGCTCTGCACCTTTAGCTCCCTTCAGCTTCTCTTTGCGCTTCCCGCCTAGTGACAGCAGGGGGAATTTGGTGGAAGAATCAATGGGCGTTGTGGTGACGTAGTTTTCCGCCAGGTCTTTCAGGTACTCCTGCCGCGTACGTGTGGCCATAGAGCGAAATTTCTCTGATTTCTCTGCCGCGTTCTCTGCGTTAATGGCTTTGGCGAGGAGAAAGTCACGGAAGGCAGGAGAACGTGGGAAGCGTGCACCTTTAGGGAAAAGAGGACCGAAGAGAGGGATGTCCTTGGAACGAGTTACTGCAACTCTGAGAAGGGTGGAGATAAAGACACGTTTAATTTTATTTACAACATTTTATTAACATTTTTATTTGCAACGTTTTCTTTTCCTTCAGCGCATTTTGTCTGCTTTCTTACCTGTAATAGGTGTTTTCGGTGCAGGGCTCGTGTACTTGGACAATGATGAACACATGCTGAAAGTGAGAACGGATGGCTTTGGGGGTGAAGGGTAAAGCACCTGGCTCCTGGAAGACTATAGTGATGATATCATTCCCTATGTGTCTCTTCCTCAGCAACTAAAAGAGAAAAAGCGAAAAAAACATAGACTTTTAAATTCTAAATGCAGTGACTTAAATGAAAAGTGCAGTATACTGAAGCCATCGGACCCTTGTGAAAAAGAAGTGTGCATAATTCTACTGAATGTGCATTTGTAGTGTTTTCAAACCTAAAAAAGTATATTAAAAAAAAACTGTACTTGAATATACTATTAATGAAATAAAAGGCCACTTAAGTGACTTAAAAATAGACTGTTTCTTAACACACTAAAGTACACTTTTAAAGCACTTTTAAAAGAGTTTTTCTTTAAAGTGCATTTTAAATCATTATGTTTTAACAATCTTGATGCTTTAAAGAAGTACACTTATTTTGACGTGTTGACTAACATACTAAAGAACATGCAAAGTACTATTATATTTTTAACTGTACCGTGTTGTTCCATATTACAATTAAAGTTAATATATTTTTAAATGTACTAAATTGCAGATTCATCATCACAAATGTGTAATTACAAATATATTTAAATACGTAACATACAAGTTTCATTAAAATGACATAAAAGTATATTTTTATCATACATGCCTGTCAGTACAGTCAGCAGTGCTATATTTCATATACAACATAGTTATGAAATTACATGTAAATATGTACTTAAGTGATACTTAAGCTGGTCAAAAAAGCAGCCTATAGTGTTCAGCTAACTGCATTTAATATACAATTAAACTATAATACATTTCCATTGAATTCTAATTAACATGCAACTATGAGTCTGAAAACACTACATTCAGTTCACACTTAAGTATATTATTTTAAAGTACACTATTTCTGCAATAAGTACGGCTTTTAAATGTATACTAAAGTATATTTATTTTGCACAAGGGGAGACACCAGGAGATTTGCACATGCAAATGAGATCCCAATGCATATCCTACTGCTGATTCATGTGATTGTGCTATTGATATACAGTAAGTGGTGCTCAGTTTTAATGGGACGTTCAAGGGTTGTGTAGATTACCTGTTGTGTATTGTTGGCTGTGTATGGAAGCATGGTGGAGACATGGAACATAATCTCGTAATCCTGATAGCGAGTATAGAGTGAGTGTGTACCAGTGGAGTCAGCTGCAAATAAACACACAAACACTACTATCACACACCCAATCAAAATCTGTTATTGTCATTCTCTGTACAGTTTTCTTTCTATTTTATGCCTATACATTGCTGTTCAAAAGATTTTTTAAATGTTTTTTTGAAGGAAGTCTCTTATGCTCACCAAGGCTGCATTTATTTAATCAAAAATACAGTAAAAACAGGAATATTGTGAAATATTTTTAGAATTTTAAATAAGAGTTTTCTGTTTAAATATATTGTAAAATGTCACTTATTCCTGTGAACAAAATATAAACCCAAGTTTATGTGCAAACTTTTTTCATGGAACAATTATAAAAAAGAAACATAAACAATATTGTAATTACATTGTACTTACATACAACACATGCGATAACACTAATACTATTGTACTATGGTGCAATTGTATGAAGACTGACTGCATGTTGAGTTTTGGTCTCACTTTTGGTGTCTAGTTGAGCTCTGTATTTCTCCCAGCCCTTGAGTCGTACTCGCTCTCCAAGAAGGTCCAGAAACTCATCGAACTCTGGCCCGGCGCTCTCATTGTTATACATGTCCTCTTCAGTACTCTGTCCTGCTCTGCAGTACATAATGCCCACCTTATGCTGGAAATTCAACTTTACACACACATAAAACACACATTAACAAGGATGAAATTACAATAACTTCTCCAACTTGATTTTTACACACACAACATAATTCTTCCTCATTTTGTCATTAAGCCAGTTTCACATTGTATGCACAAGTGTAGGTGCAGTAACAGCATAACTGCAAAAGCAGTCTTGCTATAGCATTAGCAATACATACAACAGTAGTGCATGCAACAGTTTCACATTGTATGCACAAGTGTAGGTGCCGTAACAGCATAACTGCAAAAGCATATATAAAAATATATATATGCTTCTACAAGGTATATACATTTAAATGTTACAGTCTGATTGGAAATGCATTTACATTTATCTATTTGTCAGTGCATTTATCAGATGCATTTATCATTCACTTTGCAAAAGCAATTCGTCATAGAGTCAACTAGTTCATAGAGTCAACCAGGTTCATTAGACTACTAAAATAGGAAGCAAGGCAGAGAAGAGGAGAAATGCATTGAGGAAGAGTACTTGTCAAGCCAGTTCATGTGACTTTGTGTTTGAAATAGGAGTTGCACCAACTCTCTCTCTCTATATATATATTCACAATATAATTTTTTAAGATGTCAGTTGCATCAATATTTCTAGCAGCCTATCAGTAACCTGTAAAAACAAGCTGTCAGTCCTGCAGAATTACAGAAAGCAGCTCAACATAACATCTCTTACCCCCTGCTCGTCCAGTTTGAGGAGCGTGTCTCTGACTTTAGGGGACGTGGAGGCTAGTCTGAGGCAATGTAGGTTGAGATCGGGCAAAATAAACTCCAGCAGTCTCTTGGGCGAAAGGCCGCGTGGCGTGGTGTGGCGCGCTGCGGAGGGAACCGACTCCTCCAGGATCGAACCTCTCAGCGTCTTCAGCTGCAGGAAAACAGCAGGGACCAATTAATTAATGAGTACAAAAGACATAATGTAGACTTAAAGGGGTCATATCATATATTTATTTTTATATTTATTTTTCCCCTGAGGTCGATAATGTAATGTAGATTGATTTACAATTTACAATCAGAATCGCATTGATTTACAAGTCAGAATTTCATCTTACTTTTAGACCAAATAAAGCAGCTGCACCAAATTTCTATCATGAGAACTCTCTGAAGATTTTAGCATGGTAATGGATATACAATGTTAATGTATTTGGTCTTGGTGGAATAGATCTGCTACGCTGCTTCTGCTGCTGTTGGCTATTCCTGTATTACAGGAACTTGCTACTGCCAATACATAAGCTGATATGGTGCTGTGAGTATTTAAGACATACTGCTGCAGCACAAATAGCATATAAAATAACCCATAGCAGACCTATACAGGTGGAGCTGGGGAAGGTGGAGGGTTTCAGAGTAACTCTGAAAGCGCACTGCAATGCTCAAGTGACTGCTAATCAGCCATTTAAATGTAAAGCAGCAAGCTCATTGGCTGCGTATGCAACGGGAACCAATCAGCTTGTGACAAGTCGTTTAGTGCTAAGAATATCATCAGTTACGTTAAGGACCCATAGCCTGTGCCATCTAGTGTTTCATGACAGAACTTGGTATTTATTTATTTTATTTAGTTTTTTTCTCAGTTTGGGCCTCTGAATAAAATTGAGGTATTTTTTAATCCTCTTTCAGTTTTATATTCTTTTATAATATAAGAACCATAAAAGCCTGATTTATCAATTACGATACTCAACAAAAACACATATGCAAACATTTATTTTTGTCTATACCAATGTAATGTAGTGTTGCATTCAGAAATGTAAAACATTTAAAATTAATATTGATTCATAAAGTAATGTTCTAATTTTGATTTTTTTAAAAAGGGGACATTTGAGTAAAAACATTCGGTTACACTTTATAGGCAACTATTACTACTTTTAGTCATTTTAATTCATAATAAATATAGCAAATAAAAAGATTGTAATTTTGCGCATTGCATCCTCTGCAGTCTTACCCTGGCATTTGAGAAATCTGAAGTCTGATTATACTTTGAAGTGCAGAATGAGTCATCAAAATTGCTGATCTGTACTCTCCGCACCCCTAGTTTGAGAACCACTGCAGTAACGCATACATTGTCTAAAAAAATATACGTACACAATTATACGTCATAAATAAAAAAAAGCCATGATTAGAGGAGGACAGAGTGCCCCTCGTCACATCTAACTAAAGGCACCACTTGCTCATCTGGACAGACAGTCTCCCTGACCACTGCAGACCCAAAAGTCTATCATTTTAACTTGAAAAGTATCTCAATAATTTTTTTTTAGTCTGTGGAGCACAAAAGCAAGTCTAAAACGAAATGTTAGGGACTGACAGCCTTCTTCTGAACAACTCACAGCACTGAATGTGAATGGTGACTGTTGCGACATCTGTTGTACTGCTGTGGGTGAATTTGCATTTCGTTAAGCCCAACACATATTTTGTGTTAACAGGCCATTTGAATGTCATTCACTAAACTTGTTCTGCACTACGTTTGATGCAAATGGCCTTTACAGTCAGAAAATTTGGTCTTAGAAGACACAGAACAAGAAGAAATACAAAAACATGTATTGGTTTACATCGGTACAACACCTATGTAAACCAACACATGTTTTTGTATTTCTTCTTGTAAACATTGGTTTAACAAAGTCAATAAAAGACAGAAAAAAATGTGCAAATATGTGCAAAATAATGTTTCATATCGTTCGGTATTGATAATTATTGACTTTTTTATAACCTTTTTTAAAACAAAGAGCTATAGAATTTTTTTTTTATTTAACCACTGTATTTTTAAATTAACCCAATTTATTGAGACAAACAACAAATATTTTTGGTTTTAACAATCAAACACAAAATAAAAATTAAACAAATATCGCATATCTAATGTTTTATATGCAGATTAAATAGGTCTTAAGGAAACTTTTGTCTTGTCTCCCGAGGCCACAGGAGGGCACAATGAGCAAAATATTGCAGCACATTTAAATTGTCAACGCAAGGAAATAACTCTATAAAAAAACGTGCATTACGTCTAAATTAACTCATAAAAATCTAATATAATTTCGTAAATTGCATAAACAATTATGAACAAAACAGCATCATGTATTTATGCATTGCTTAATCAAAAGAGCTGAAGCGCCATTCACACAAACTGCATTTAAAAACATATGAGACGCAGTGAAAACGAATAAACCTCCACAAATTTGTGACGTGTTTTCTAAAAGTTTAAACTGTTTTAACTTTGCATGGCTTTCTATACATCTCTTGTGTGTGACGCGAGTGCAGCAGTCATATTTGTCCATCTAAAAAATGCGCTGAATATGCGTTCTGTCAATCAATATCTTCTCCGCATTGAGCTTCTATATTTCTCTAATATTTTGAATGAATAACGCAGCACCGGCGCGTCTCGTGGGCTAGACTAACAAAACATTAAACTACAACGTCACTTACATCATCATCACCGCATCTTGCGCGCCACTGATGACGCTCCCTGACGCACACCTAACATTGCAAATGTTTATTTTAAATTGGACTAATATTCATTCTTTATTTACAATCTCCTCATCACAGGCAGGCACAGCACTCATTTCAGCATGTGTTCATGTTTGCGTGTGCTGTCTGCGTCACTCATAGTGCGCTATATCGGAAAAAAAATTATATCGTTATCGAAGAAGGTGTACCGTCGATAATATCGATACCGTTTTATCGCCCAGGCCTATTTAGGAGTATGACAGCTTATCACATGGACTTAGAGACTTTGTACCTTATCTACCATTAAAAGGTATATATTAGTACAGTAACACAGTATGTAGAAGTAACCCTTAAGGTACTACTATGAACCTTTCAGGAGCACATAAGTTATTTACCTTTAAGGTGCACATTAGTACCTCAGAGTAGTAATAGTGTAGTGTACAGAAAAAAAATAAGAAACAAAATACAAGTACCTTGGAGTTGTAATACTCTATATAGTAGTAGCCCATAAGGCGGTGGTTCTCAACTTCAGTCCTCGTGACCCACTGCTTAGCACATTTCATATGTCTTCCTTATTTAACGCACCTATTCAGATCATCAGCTCATTAGGAAAGAGCTCCATGAACTGAACCGAGAGGTTGTTTAAGGCCAAAGTATACTTCCTTTTTTTTTAAGTGTACGAGCACCGTTGTACACGTAGCCTTTCAAAGTATAGTCCATTTAAGGTTTACGCGAATGCAGACGGTCTACACATGCACTCTAGAAAGCTTCATCTTTGTGTCTGCACTATTTTTCTCCAGACGTTATGACCGATAAAAATGTCTTTGTACTCTTTTAAAGTAAAGTTGCTGCTCTCTCTCTCATAACCCCCTCACACGAGCGCTCGTCAATGTGGCCGTGTGTTGTTGTTGCAGTCTCTGCTATTTTGTTGTTGTTTCATCTCTTTAGTTTAATTTTCTACTGTGAAACAATGGCCTGGGCTAATGTTGCCAACTTGTGGAACAAGTGAGCAGTGCAAAACCAAGTTAATGCGCATGTGTGACCTGCGCATACAAAGTACGCACGGTTACAAAAATCAGATGGTGCTTATACAATACGTGCGTACTATTCTGTTGACAAAATTTGCATCACGCGTACTGTATGTGGACCCTCGTTTAAGCGGAAAAACCGAAGTATACGTTAGCCTTTACACAACACCGTTTTCAACTAAAAACAGAATTTTGTTTTTGTTTTGGCCATTCATTTACACGACAGCTGCGTTTTGGAGGCCTGAAATTACAAACTTTTGAAAATGTGCTTTCAAAGTGCACGTTTTTGAAAATGATACCGTTATCATGTCTGTGTAGACTATGAAAATGTGAATTTATGAAAACGGTGTCGTCATGCGCATGCATTTTACATGTTCAGTCTATAGGAATGTGTACGTGCGCAGATGCATAGTGTCTCTTTACAAAAAGACATCGCCAACTACTAGCCTGGCCTGCATAAATACTGCTTGTTTAGTTATTTTCACGGATCTTCCTTATTTAACGCACTTGTTTCAGATCAGCAGCTCGCTAGGAGAGACCTCCATGAACTGAACTGAGGATGTGTTTACACTTGGCATTAACATGCGATCACCGTGGCATGATCCGATCAAGCAGATCGGATCATCAGTCAATCAGGACACGGCGCGGTTACACTTGGCAACATCAAGTGACTTCTCTATCTGGATAACTGATCGGATCTCTCTTTCCCGCACAATATTTAAATAACATTCCTATCAGAAGCACGTTCACACTTTTCACGTCTTTTCAATGTGTATGTGGACAACATCCGGATACAGGTCGCATGTTAATGCCAAGTGTAAATGAGTGTGTCAGACAAGAAAGACATACAAAATGTGAGGAGCAGTGGGTCCCGAGAACCAGAGTTGAGAACCACTGCCTTAAGAACCCTTTAAGGTGCCTATGAGTACCTTAGAGTAGTAATAATTTATGTTTTAGTACCCCTTAAGGTGTGTCTTTAATAATCAAATGCTTCTGAAGATCTTAATCAGCTGGTTTGGATGTGTTTGATCAGGGTTGGAGCTGAACTTTGCAGAAACCCTGCCTTAAGGTACTACTATGAACCTTTTAGGAGTAAATAAAGTGGAAAGATGTTCCTTTAGAGGGTACCGGCCCAGTGACAAGCTGTTGTACCCATAAAAGTATGATTTTTGCAAATTTTTCTGAGTAAATTAGACTAAGCAGTGAAAATGAGTATGCAATATGTTTCTTCAAAAAGTGCAAACATCCTTTGCCACACACACACACACACACACACACCCTCACCTTTCATGTAAAAGTACTTGTGATAGTATCGAGCCCCAAGGTCTGCATGCTCTATGAAGTAGTTACTTTTCCCCTGTGCCTGGACATGGCTCTCCCTGGGCTCCTCTAACATGGACACAGCATTGTTGGGACTTTGAAAACTCCTCCACCTGTGCCTGCCGGCCCGCGGCAGGCTGAGCCCCACGCTCTCCTCGCCACCCATCTCATTCCGAAAGTGAGGACAGCTGAGCAGGAGATCATTATCGTTCCCATCTCCTTCATCCAGCAAGGACTGCTCTACATCTTCCGAGCCAGTCCCGTTTCCTGAGCTGCCCCCTCCACCCTGAGAAACTGAGGAAGGTGTGGATTGTGAAAGTGGACGGAGTTGAGAGGCAGCTGACGCACCGGACGTGATGTTCTTCTTGCGTCCAATGCTGTCCCGATTGGTTGCAGCCTCCGACAGGTCGAAGAGAATGCTCTGTACATCATAGTGTGCAAAATTGCGCACCCAAGCACCACCTGGGACTTGGTCACAGGAAAACTGAGGGGCCTGCAGAGGGGACGATTTGGCCTTCTTACCGAGCCCCTCTGGTTTGGGGGGCTTGACCGGTTTTGACGTGTCTGCTGCTGGAGCACAGTTTCCTTGATACTCTCCGTCCACTTCAGGAGGTGCCTCTTGCAGACCAAGAAGAACAAACGGATCTCTGAAGCGCAAGGCACTGGGACTGAGAACACCTTGATCTTCCGAACCGGGATCTACAATCTGGGTTTGTCTTTCTAGCGAGGACAGGCTTCCGTACTCTCGGTGGAGGGAATCGCCCGGCCCCACAGTCCCAGATTTGTCCACCCCTACTCGGAGCAACTTCCTCCCGACTTGCCCCACTGAATCCAAATCTCCAAGGGTGACATCACTGTTGCTGCGCTGCATTATGTGTCCACGACCTACTGTTCTCAGGTTCAGTGCAGCTGCGCTGGGTGTGACAGTCTCGCTGTTTGTTCCCTCTCCCTCTCTCCTAGGAGGCCATTCTGCCACAACTCGTGTCCGCACGCTACCACCATCCTGCTGGGGGTCAAAGTTCACTCTCGCTAGGGTCGGGCGTGGGCTCTGCCTGCGGAACTTGCGGATGAAAAGATCGTCTGATTGCATGATTTGAAGTTGTGGGAAGCTCTCGCTTTTCAGTTGCCCTTGCCCCTTTTGTTACACCTCCCCACCAAAGTACTGCATCTGTGTGAATAAGGAGTTTTTGGGGAACTCAAGTGACCAACATAAATGTTTCTGTTCTAGCCATGAACACTGAAATTCTCCAGTGCTGCCAGAAGAGCTCGGTTCAATAGGTTCCTCATTCACTAAAATATTCAGAAGGGTTGAGCGCAACTTTCTGCCTTGGAATAAAATAACAGCCGCACAGGCTCCAGAGATGATTTCAATCTCTCGGTAAACATCTTAAGTTCTAACATACAGGATTACTCTCATCATTAATGTTATAGGATGCATCCAGCAGAATGACTATGATTGTATGTGGACTGACTGAAATTGGATTCCCAGTCTGGTTTATTCTGAGTCAGGTACGCCTCGTTGTGACTCTCCGTTCACAGCCGACCACAAGCTCTGTGCCCTTAGAGACCACGGCTGCATCCTCCACTGTATTCCTGAAACACAATGAAACAGGTTATTATTAGTTTGTAGGTGATAATAGATGTTGCATTTTTCCTAAATTACATTGTGTTGCATGGCAGTACATTATATGCTGTGGTAAAATCTGCTGAACCACTTACACTGTACTCTGCATTGATCTGTGCGGCTATTAGCTGGAACGACTGCTTTAAGTTATTTATATTAGAGTGGTTTGTTGATTGACTTTAAACAATCACTTACTTCTTATATTAAAAGTGGTCAGACTTTTGTCATGTGGACAAGGTTTAACAAACCGACACTAAGCAGAAAACTACAATCTGTGTACTGTTTTTAATGCTGAAGATGGAAATGAGCAACCTCTTTTCCCAGCTAATAAAGCGCAGAGAGTACCATGAGAGACAAACGTGCTGCACGTTCAGTGATACATTTAAGCATAAAGCAATTAGCTCTGTGCACATGTGTTTTGTGAAGAGCATTTGCAGTAATATAGATACACATCTGAATGATCGAATACACTTCAGAATTTGGTCAAAATACTTGTCTTGGCGAGTATTGGCACAGATGGTAATGTCTTGGAAATGTAAAAATGCCAAACAACAAATATGTCAAACGAAAACATTAAAATCAAAAGTTGTGCTTGTTAACATAAGTTAATGCACTGTGAACTAACATGAACTAACAATGAACGACAATGAACAATGAATGTATTTTCATTAACTAACATTAACACAGATTAATAAATACTGTAATAAATGTATTGTTCATTGTTTGTTCATGTTAGTTAATACATTTACTAACATTAACTAATGTTAATGTTAGTAAATGTATTAATATTAACAAACATTAACTAATGGAACCTTAGTGTAAAGTGTTACCAAAATGTCTTGGTTTTATGATATTCCTTAAAAATACTATTATTATTATTATTATTATTATTACTCAAGGAAGTTCATTTTAGTATACAAAAGCAATACCTATATCTGTGTCATAATTTCTTCAAGTTAAACCAAACCTTAATTTTGATGGGTTGTCATAAAGATCTTTGATTTTCAGTGTGTATTTGACAGTATTTTTCTCAAATAACACAGTGAAAAGCTTGTGAAGTTACTCTCAGAGCAGCTCTGGAGATGAAGTGTTTGCGTCCTCACATAGTGAGACGCAGATGCTGAAAACACCATGAGCGTCACATGTGTTTGAGTTTGTGTATCAGACAAAACCATGCCATTCATTCACACAGAGACACACAAAACATGCAGACTTATTAGCCACACGCACACACACAGCTGGTTGGGCGGTCTTATCACTTACCAAAAAGATTAAGAATGTCTAATCCAGCTGTCTATTCTAGTGAACCTCCAAATTAAAATGTAACCAAACGTGCCCCATTCCTAATTTACACACACTGACATACAATTGATTTGAACTGCATAAGCAGGCTCTTTTGGAACCAGGGACTGCTCACATTAAAAACAATGACAACAACAAAAACCATGTAAGAACGTCAATGTTATATGTATACTGTACATGTGGCTGTGTAATTGGGCATGTAATACCTGACACACAAGCATGTATCTAACAAATAATGCACATTTGTCTTGCAACAAGGGGGCGGGGGGATCACAGGCCTATATAAACATCAGCGCAAACATGATGTGGTTGCTAAGGTAAAACCGTTTTTATTTTTATACACTTCCTTACAGTATATGAAGCTGGATATGTGCGGTGCTAACACTCAAAAGCATCAGTTTTCAAATCTCCCAGCATATTAAAAATGTTTTGAAGTCACAACATAATACTCTTCAAGTAATTGTGCGAAAATTACGGTTTATTAATCGAAACTCTGTAAATCATACTCTGTGTGAATATAATTTAAGGTGTCTACAATCTTTGTGTCTACAATTTGTCTACAAATAAGGTGAAAAAGGTGTCGGGGTTTTACTGCCTCTAGTGTTCATTTTTTTGGAAACTGCAGTGATATGTACTTATTGGTACGTATTTCGCGTCTTGCAAAAATGTGCCCCCAGATACTATTTGCCATGAAACTGGGTTGATAATTTTAGATATCTGTAACTTTAAATTGATGAGTATGAATATAATTCTGACTAGCCAAAAATTAATGACTAGTTGTAATTACAGATTATAATAGAATTACAGTCTAATTTTGACTAGTCTTATTGAATTACAGATATCTACAAGTTAAGTAAATTAAGAATAACCTGAATGTGATTTTTTTTGTCTTAATATCATTAGACAGCTCTTTGTGAGAACTCAACTGTAGGTCTCTAAAATTAAAAAAAGGAAGTCAACTGAGACAAAGACATATTCTGATAACTGAATTATCAGCCCATACAGATCCGATACAAGGAATGTTGTTTTTTTTTCTTAATTTAAATCAGTGTAACATACTTCACTAACATGCTAACTAAACAATACTAAAAAACACAAAATAAAAATACTTAAAACAAAAAAACACATGCCTATGACAAATGGATGCATCCCTAGACAAAACTGCATTCTAAATTATATATCTAAATTTGCATTAGCCAGAACTGAATTATGACCAATAATGCTGGAAGCTTTAGGTCATATTAAAAATGTTTTGAAGTCACAACATAATACTCTTCAAGTAAATGTGCGAAAATTACGGTTTATTAATCGAAACTCTGTAAATCATACTCTGTGTGAATATAATTTAAGGTGTCTACAATCTTTGTGTCTACAATTTGTTATCAGAGCAGTGTGGATGCAGTTAATAATCTGCCTGCCTCCGACTCATCAACGCTTAATCAAATCGCTTAACGATAAAATGAGCGTTTATATGACAACAAAGGCTGCTTGCACTGAACAGACGACGATATGAATCATTGCCTGCTACATTTCAGCAATGCAAACCGGAACAGGACGAAGTCACCGAACGAACAAAGAAGCGAACGAGCGCATCCTTTCTCACTTACAGGACGCCGCTACTGTCTCCGTGCCGATTGCATCAGTGTGGCATTCGGTGTCACTCGCATTAAAAACAGCGTTCTCGAATGAAACTCACCGACAACAAAGCGATGTCTGACAGCTGTCTGGTCTCTTCCGCGCTCGGGTAATTCTTGTCGAACTGACGTCTTTCAGCCTAAACTAACTGAATTATCAGCCCATACAGATCCGATACAAGGAATGTTGTTGTTTTTTCTTAATTTAAATCAGTGTAACATACTTCACTAACATGCTAACTAAACAATACTAAAAAACACAAAATAAAAATACTTAATACAAAAAAACACATGCCTATGACAAATGGATGCATCCCTAGACAAAACTGCATTCTAAATTATATATCTAAATTTGCATTAGCCAGAACTGAATTATGACCAATAATGCTGGAAGCTTTAGGATAAATTGGCTTGCCATGAAGACACTAAAATAATGTGTTGTCGTTTCACACACACACACACATACACACACACCCGGTGTCCTGATCTCATTTCACACTCTCCTCTCTTGAAAGAGACGGGTTTTCTGCTTAGTGCAGATTTGGGGGGTAAATATGCGCACTGAGCAAATGCAGCAGAATCGAATGCCAGAACTGGTGCTTCTCCCTCATTGTAAAGGCCGAAATGTTGCACGAAATAAATAAGTGGTTCGATTGGTGGGCAACTGCACATCTAATTCAATCTCCAAGAGGAATGAACGCTTGTTTTGGTCAACAGATGTTAAAACAATCCAATAAGGGATTCAACAGAATCTGTAGTGCATTTCGTGTTAATTGAGTTGTGCATTTATTTAACACATTTGGTTACTTGTGCACTTGTCTGTTTCCTCTTTCTGATATGGGAAATTACTGAGACCCCATTCTCAGTACGCCGATTCAGCTTTCAGTTTCACTTCCAATTTTCTGACATTTTATTTAAAAAGTAGTACATGTGTATTTGCACAAAGCTTTCATGTCCTTTATGGTCCAGCCTTATCACTGAGCACTCACATGAGTAATTGTTTTAGGCCTTGTTTTTCAGAAATGTTTTTTAAAGCTAAAAAGCACGTCTAAAGCTTAATGTCCTTTAGACGTGTCTCATTATGTGGTTTGTGTTTTGCTTGTATGTTTGTTGGTAAGATGATATGAACTTTCAGTGGAGACTAGCTATTGCATGTCTTTTTGTCATTTATGTTTACACTACATAAAACATTTAGGATGCATTATCAAACATCATAAATATTTCATAGTGTCAATATGATTGTGGCCTTTCTGCTTTCTCTCACTTATTTTCAGTTTCTGGTGCATCTCCTGCTAATGTGTTTATTACTGTTGTGAGTTCATGCATGAATAATTGGTAGCTGAAAATAGATGCAAATATGTTCTATATCTACAAATCTACATATAGATCATTGCTGATTGGGAACTAAAATGTAAATGTTGGCATATTATATGTTCAGGCTACAAATATTAAGTCTGTATTGGGCAGGGAGTCTGATTTAAGATGATTCATGTTGAAGGGTCAAAACATGTAGAATAAGTTGCGTTTTCATAAGTATAATTTATGGACTGGCAAATATGCAAGCACAAACAAAAATCAGCATTATAGGATAATATATTAATGTATGTATTTATTAGTATTATTATTGCCGAAGACAACGTAGCTCTTAGATGCACTTGGTCAACCTGACCTTTAACACAAACACAATTTTTTATGCATTTATCTAAAAACCGTGCTTTATACGTTCCTTCGAACTCATTTGTAAAGTCCCTCTGCTGTCACTAATTTAATTTTACCCCTAAAACGCACCTTTGATAATCAAAATGACATATTTAAATGTTTTTTAATTTCTGTGCAAATAATTTCTTCATGCCTTAAAATGACTTAAATGTAACTCTACCCTTACCTCATTTAGTGTAAGCAGATTCATGAATATGCAAATTAGTCCCGCCTCCACTCAATCACACCTGCTCTACTTTCACCCGGTTATCTGAAGTTGTAAAATCACAATGGCAAGTAGCAATATTGCATTCATTCATCCATGTATGTTTGAA